TATGAGGACATACCGGCTACGCTCACCTTGCCACAGAATAAACACTGCACAATGAACTCATCTACACTTCGCAAACTTGACACATTAAAGGAATCCGGAAAGCTAATCGAAGCAATACAAGTCACTGAGTCGTCCGACTTAAATATCTCCATTCATTCACGGTTGACGCCGAAGGAAAATGTTGGCGAAAAATGACTGAGACTAAGCGCAAGGACAATCGGGCAGATACAACCTTGTCAATGTCATATCACCGGTTGGCAGTGTTCCAGCACCTGGTGGGCTAGGGCCTGGCAAACCTTCTCCAAATAAATACCACAAAGATTTGTTTAACAACACTGCGACTTGGCGGATGTTACTTACCACTCAATAAACTCACTGCTCCGACCACGCGTTGGCAACTTGCGCGATTCTACATTCCCCAATTATCATGCATATATCTAATCTCGTACGACTATGCGTATATCTTTGAGCAGTAGCATGATAATATTCTTAAATATATTTTCAGGTTTCTTCTCATACTTCATTCACCTGATCTGCACTGTGTACGTAACCTCATCGGACTAATCCCCCACCAACCTGCTCCACTTCATTAATGTAATTCGTATCTCTACATCTCGCATTCGATGAGGATCTATTTTACTCAAGCTTTGGGCCTTAGGAGCCTACACTACGGGCTATTTCTGTACTAATCCCGCGCTTGGTCCTGTTAATCATGCCGTCATGTACATCACTGCACTATGCTGGTCATTCCCAAAAGGCGTGCCTCGCTTTGTCGAGAATGGTGCATTGTTGTACACGATGGTGTATGTGAAGTACCAAGAGCAATGGTTATTTAGATGGCGTCAGTAGCATATGCATACATGGCCCAAAGCTTGCAAAATCTCTCTTTTCGTAGAGTGCGAGATTTAAAGATAAGAATTACGGCGATCAATGGAGTGGAGTATGTTGGTGTAGAGCGGGTCCGATGAGGTTGTGTACAAAGTGCGGGTCAGGTGAGTGAAGCATGAGGACCCATTTCTTAAAGCGGATAAAGCGTAGTGGCCTGTCACTGAGCGAACATATAAGTATAATTGCATGAGAGCGGATATATGCACAGAACGTTTGATATGTGGTATCGGTCAACTTGCCAATGCGTGATAGTGGCAATACCTTCATTAAGTGGCGAGTCACATCCTCCACGTCGCAATGTTGTTAAACAGATGTTTGTAACTTTTGGTAGGTAGAGCGCTTGACCGGCGAAAACTCAGCACATGCTGGAACACAGAAGACAAGTGAAATGAAATTGACTGGATTGCCACTTGACCAATTCTCTTCAAATCATTCGCAGTCAAGTTTCGCAAATTTACTTCCGTTGGCTGGTGGGTTGGCTTCTTCGAAGAAATCAAATAACGTGCAAAATAATGCTACCATTCGGTTAAAAGTCTTTACTGTATACAGCGCGCAATCATTATCAAAGCTAACATTTTGTTCTGCATTAGTTCTTATAATTAAACCAAAAATTGGTTCAATAATTTTTCCACGTTTAGCTCACAGGCAGATTGCTAACGATAAATTATTATTAGAAAACAGAGAAAACGGGTTTCACTTTTTAAATTTTACTAACACAAACGTGTCGTTATAAGTCGTGCAGCCGCTCCGTTTAGATGGAAAGTGCTGGGGTAGACAAGCATATTTCCGCACTGTCGTCAAGCCATGAAAATTGCAGCTCGAATTTGGTGGGGCAGTGTAGAGTACGTCCCTATTCCGATTCCCCTGCATACTTCCTTCCCTGCATCAACGTGTCGAATACACCTTCACATTTCATTGTAAAACCCATGCTCCAACGCATTCTGTCCCACCGTCTCAGAAGTCGTTAGTTCCTTGCATTTACATGACTCAACTTTCCTCTAAACCTATTTTTAGGTTGTCTACGATTGTCAAGACCATGGTACGCACTGATTAATGTCGTTGGCTGATCTTCGCTCTTACCAGTTATGTCTGTTTGCTGACCGTTTATCCCTACGAATTATGTCTGTCTGACCATTTTCCCGTTGCGTATGTGCATATGTGACTTAGTTATTGAACGCTCCAAACAGGCCAAATTCATACCGCCATGAGACTTAACAACGCCACATCCTAATTGCGTGTACTACCAAACACACCGCTATTTCCGTCTTATAGGCGCACCGCAAAAATTACAACTTTGACTTCGTACAGCCTAGGCGCGGAAGGTACACCACTTCGTGCGCGCCAAAACAATTTTCATTCCAACTATCCTGAGTATGGAAGTATACTCTTTGAGACGTTTAATTTATATGGTCAGTGGTTCTTCATACATAGTGCGTTTATCCAATTCTTGACTTGCGGATTCTCGACTCCCAGCGGAATGAAAGCATCAGAACCCACCAAACAAATTTTGAAGGTTGAACAGCAAGGAAACACCTAAGACATGGTGCTTAAGGCAGCAAAGCATACTTAGCTTACCATAACGAATAACGCTGAAGTCTTCACGAAGTCAATGTAATGCTGTATCAATCCAGTAACAAAGTTCATAAACAACGTATTACTTCCTGACACGAACCTAATCTATGGCTCTATAACCAAATGCGAAGCATTCAATAAACACTGGCGGATGTGAGGAGTCACTGAATATAGCCACTGTTTCCAAGTACACATTGGCAATTTGACTAGACATATTCTACTACATCCCCGGTAAGAAGAAATAGATGCACTCTGTCTACACATGTAGCCACCTCTATAATTATGGGGTCTCCAACGTTTACTCAAAGCATACACAACCACAAATTACCAGCAACGCCGTGACGAGTTTCTCCCTCATGAGTAATTCCACTAATGTAGCTTGGACGACTATTGGCCACTGCCGGTTATATGCATGGCAACATATCTGTTGTGAAACATAATTGCTTGTAAATTCCGATCATGCGTGCTCTGCGTGTGGCTCGCTAACTTGGAGAATAAGTATATATTTCTTTAGTTTGCCTACACCATTAGCGTTTTGTCAATACTAGGTACATTTCTAGTAGATCCGACGCCGAACTGAGCACTATAGACGTTAACGTGCGCACTAGCGATCCAGTGTTAAAGGCAGTTAAATCGTCAATACCGCGGCCCAGACGGAGTCGCCTGAGCTCTGCTTCTATTACCTAGTTCAGATATATCTCCTCACCTCAACTTGCTTGCGTGCCCTATGAACAGTATGACCTTCCTAGCCAAATGGAAGCATGCGGTGCTTGTGCCAACACACAAGCAATCTTGTCACCAAAAGGTGAACAATTACCGACCCATCGGCCACACGGCTATAGCTTCTAGAAGCATGAAAAAATTTGTTAATGAGCGAGAGTGCCCACTTTTCTGATGTAACCTAACACTGCACAAACCCCAGCATGGATTTTCACACTTTCAATGTTGTTACTCGAGTCAGTTTGCTTTGCTGAGCGAGGGGACGGCTTACATCTGAAATATGCACTGTTACTCATAGTATTTTACATGACACTAATCATCGGGAGTGTTCCACATGCTTTCCCTTGACAAAACATATTTCCTACAAAGTTTCCGAGAATCCGCTTACCTCGCCCTCATTGTACCTGTCATCACGAAAGCAATTTGTCAGATTTCGTACTGAGGAACCACAGCGGACGCAATTGACTGGTAGAGTAATTCAAGCAGCGATCTGGACCCACTAATATGCCTCGTCTACCTTAATGCTTTATTTTCGATCACCAAACATAGAAAACTTTAGCTTTCCGCGGAAGTTATTACAGGTATCTTCTCCTTCAATTTGTCGGGCGTACCGGACAGTCAGACTCATGTTCAAAAGAGCCACACGGCACTGGATAGCTAGAGAAAATTAGCAAGCTGGAATTTTCGTCGGAAAAATGCACCTACATTTGCCACAACTGTTACATAGCTTCTAACCGGCTGACCGTGAACAGCAACACACGGGTCAACTGCACTGCGTTAAGGTACCACGGTGTACAATAATCAGCGTTACTTAACGTTGAAAGACAAGTGAGCTACAGCACTGCAAGTGCTAGGTCCCTAATTGGGCGTATTTTTAAAACCAAGTCTTTGTCAGCAATTAGAGCACGCGTCCCCTTATCTAAATAATACCCCTTAGCACCTTGCATTAGAAATAACTGGGAAGGAAGTGCAGTGCGAATGCTCCAGCATGCTTTCACGCAAGGGCTATTAGCCCCTTCCTACAAAATTACCGTGGAAGCTGCAAGCAGCTTCAGGTGGAGCCCTCTTGGCCACGCTGCATAAACACGTTTCGTGGTTCTGTTTCTAGTCCTCAGAAACTGCGCAGCTGCTAAACTTGGCTTTTCTCAGACGGCCATTGAGCATGGATATCAGTTGCGCCGTAGACCATAATCCTTTAGATTACTAAGGGCCAAGTGTAATAAACATGGTAACCGTTTGCTACACAAGTATGCATTCGCAGGAAACCGATTATAGATAGCAAGAAGAAACTTAGAGTCCGGCACGCAGTTTCTCTCAGACCCACATGGATTCCACTGCAATCCTACCATAGAGCAGCTCTTCAAAATTGATGCCCTATGGATCAGTTAGTTGAACAGTGGCATGACTACTGTTAGTCAGACAACCTAGGGCAAATCAAGGTGGGTACGCGGTCAACTAATAAGGAACTAGGAATACCACCTAGCCTGTGTGACGCAGCACTATCTCACTGCGGTTCCACTTGCCACCTAAGAATTAGCAAGCTCCAGCTTCCTCTCCCTAGCCATCTAGAACCTCTATTTACCAAGCGCGACGCTGCTAAAGGTAGGCTGCCCATCAGGGACGCTGTGCGATCGACCTTGGCGGCAGGGGGGTCGCGGGGTGGCGCATTCCAGGAACTCCCGACCATCTCTCCAGCCCAGTCGTATCGGTGCTCTGCGCCCGCGAGCGAGCTTACCGAGCATCCCCTGGTACGCGCGGGGCGTCGCACTGCTCTCGTGACTGCGGGGCAGGGTGGGCGCAGTATGGTGCGGGTGCGGAGGATGCGGGGGGCGGCGCGGGGGGGGGGGGGGGGGGGGGGGGGGGGGGGGGGGGGGGGGGGGGGGGGGGGGGGGGTGGGGGGGGGGGGGGGGGGGGGGGGGGGGGGGGGGGGGGGGGGGGGGGGGGGGGGGGGGGGGGGGGGGGGGGGGGGGGGGGGGTGGGGGGGGGGGGGGGGGGGGGGGGGGGGGGGGGGTGGGGGGGGGGGGGGGGGTGGGGGGGGGGGGGGGGGGGGGGGGGGGGGGGGGGGGGGGGGGGGGGGGGGGGGGGGGGGGGGGGGGGGGGGGGGGGGGGGGGGGGGGGGGGGGTGGGGGGGGGGGGGGGGGGGGGGGGGGGGGGGGGGGGGGGGGGGGGGTGGGGGGGGGGGGGGGGGGGGGGGGGGGTGGGGGTGGGGGGGGGGGGGGGGGGGGGGGGGGGGGGGGGTGGGGGGGGGGGGGGGGGGGGGGGGGGGGGGGGGGGGGGGGGGGGGGTGGGGGGGGGGGGGGGGGGGGGGGGGGGGGGGGGGGGGGGGGGGGGGGGGGGGGGGGGGGGGGGGGGGGGGGGGGTGGGGGGGGGGGGGGGGGGGGGGGGGGGGGGGGGGGGGGGGGGGGGGGGGGGGGGGGGGGGGGGGGGGGGGGGGGGGGGGGGGGGGGGGGGGGGGGGGGGGGCGGGGGGGGGGGGGGGGGGGGGGGGGGGGGGGGGGGGGGGGGGGGGGGGGGGGGGGGGGGGGGGGGGGGAGGGGGGGGGGGGGGGGGGGGGGGGGGGGGGGGGGGGGGGGGGGGTGGGGGGGGGGGGGGGGGGGGGGGGGGGGGGGGGGGGGGGGGGGGGGGGGGGGGGGGGGGGGGGGGGGGGGGGGGGGGGGGGGGGGGGGGGGGGGGGGGGGGGGGGGGGGGGGGGGGGGGGGGGGGGGGGGGGGGGGGGGGGGGGGGGGGGGGGGGGGGGGGGGGGGGGGGGGGGGGGGGGGGGGGGGGGGGGGGGGGGGGGGGGGGGGGGGGGGGGGGGTGGGGGGGGGGGGGGGGGGGGGGGGGGGGGGGGGGGGGGGGGGTGGGGGGGGGGGGGGGGGGGGGGGGGGTGGGGGGGTGGGCCTGTGAGGGGTGATGCGTGGTGGGATGTGTGGCGTATTTCTCTTGTGTTTTTTTTGTTTTTTTTTTTTTTTTTTTTTATTTTTTTATATATTTTTTTCTAATCTAATTTTTAAGGGCTGGACGCCTATTTCACATCTGCATCCAATACGCTTTGTGTTCCAGGTTCCCCTCGCTAGCAATCTAACACTTGTCAGTCCCCCTGCGTGGCGCAGCGAGTTAAGATTCCATTACTTGACTAGCCCACATTGCTTTTTTCTTCTTCACCTGCGGTATTCAGCCTCAAACCGCTTTCCCTCTATCCGACGACATTCCCATACTTGGCTTGCTTCTGCTCCATCTCGCTAACAATCTGGCATCCAAAGCATACCTTGTGTGACATTAGGCATTAGCTGTTTCAATAAATTACTTTGCTAGCTCGCTAGCATTTCACTACCTCTTACTCATGTTAGGCGAGCAGCGCATTACTGTAGATTAACTGGGCTCCCGTTATTGCTCAGTATTTCCATAGCCAGACATGGCATGCGCTTTCTGCATCTTTTTTTCCGCTCCGCCAATATAATCTGGCTTCCCACTATACACATAACACTGTATCTCCCGGCTCGACGTTGCTACTGGTGACTTTTTACATAGCTGTTGACATATTTGTCTAATCAAAGCACCCGATGGCTTCTTCGCTGCAACCGAGCATGCAGCCCCACACAAAAGTTCACATTGCGTCCAAGGTATTTTAACAGTTATATGTAACATCTGCAGCGACCAAACTACAGTGCATGTAGTCAGCTTTTAACTTTCGTTGAATTTCATAACTTCGTTAGGTGCAGTCCATTGATCTACAGCACGTCGTTTGTGCGCTTAACGGTAAGACGCTAGAGGTCAGCCAAATTGCAATCTGTAGAACACCTAATCATTACGCAGTAAAGGGTTTATAAAAGGAAGGAAAGCTAACTAACGCTTAAAATGTAAGCCACAAGATGAAGGCTAGTTACGGGAACTTGCAGCCGTGACGTTCGGCGTGCGCGGAAAAGAGGGATGGGCTTAAAATTTTCTTTGGACGGGAAAGGGTTTCTGCTTTATTTGTCTCTCGTTAAACATCAAGAGAGTTTGAGTGGCTGAGAGTAATATTCCTACTTGTGGTGGTATTAAGAGTGGGAAATAGCAGATAATGCTATATGGATTTGCTTCGCGGAAAAAGCTTATGACAATGAAAGAATTGACTACAGGTCTCGTTGAAGTTTCACGGCTATAATAGGAAAGCAGGGCAAAATAGTTAATACATGTGAAGTGTTGTAAATGGCAGTTTTATGGAGCTATGGCTTTAATGCATGAATTTCTTTATGTAAAAGATATGCTTTTTT